CTTGGATTGTAGATTCAGGCGCATCTTACCATGTTACACCAAGGAAGGAATTCTTTACTTCATATACTCCAGGTGACTTTGGAGAGCTAAGAATGGGTGATGATGGTCAGGTGAAGGTGATTGGTACCGGTACAGTTTGTCTTGAGACCAGCAATGACACAAAGCTGGAACTTAAAAATGTAAAGCATGCACCGGGTATCAGACTGAATCTCATTTCTACAGGAAAACTCGATGATGATGGTTTCTGTTGTTTCTTTGGTGATGGACATTGGAAAATCACTAAAGGCTCACTGGTTATTGCACGAGGTAATAAGTCTTCTAACTTGTACTCTTTAAAAAGCTCTATTTTTGGTGATTAAGTGAATGTGGAAGCAAAAGAATGTGCATCAGAATTGTGGCATAAACGACTTGGCCATATGAGTGTGAAGGGGATTGATTACCTTGCCAAGAAGAAGAAGCTTTCAGGAGTAAAGGAAGTTAGATTGGACAGATGTGTTCATTGCCTGGCAGGGAAACAGAAAAGAGTTTCTTTTATGAGCAATTCTCCTTCGAAGAAGCCGGAGCCACTTGAGTTGATACATTCTGATGTGTGTGGACCAATGAAGGTTAGATCACTTGGAGGTGCATCTTACTTTGTGACCTTCATTGATGATTATTCTAGGAAACTCTGGGTTTACACTTTGAAGCACAAAAGTGATGTGCTTGGTGTGTTTAAAGAGTTTCATGCCCTTGTTGAGAGACAGACAGGGAAGAAATTGAACTGCATCCGTACTGACAATGGCAGTGAGTATCGTGGCCCATTTGATGAGTATTGCAGAATGCACGGTATTAGACATCAGAAAAATCCTCCTAAAACTCCTCAATTAAATGGCTTAGCAGAGAGGATGAATCGGACAATTATGGAGAGAGTCAGATGTATGCTTGATGACGCAAAGTTGCCTAGTTCTTTTTGGGCAGAGGCAGTTTCCACAGCTGTTCATGTTATCAACTTATCTCCCGTTATTGCTTTGAATAATGAAGTTCCTGATAAGGTTTGGTGTGGAAAGGAAGTTTCTTATGATCACCTCAGAGTCTTCGGTTGTAAGGCATTTGTGCATGTCCCAAGAGATGAAAGATCTAAGTTGGATTCGAAGACTAGACAGTGCATTTTCATTGGTTATGGTCTTGATGAATTTGGCTACAAGTTGTATGATCCAGTTGAGAAGAAGCTTGTGAGAAGCCGTGATGTAGTGTTCTTTGAAGATCAAACCATTGAAGATGTTGACAAAGTGAGAAAGCCAGAATCTCAAGATAGTGGAAGTTTGGTTGACTGTGAGCCAGTTTCCAGCAAAGATACACATGATGCTGATGAGGTTCAAGAGAATGGCCAGAACGGTGATCTTGTACCAGACAGTCAGGATGATATAGCTGATGTGGATGGTCATGTTGATGATGTGCACCAGGAACAAGAAGTTCCTTTGCAGGTTCTAGTTGATCCTCCTAAGGTCTAACAGGGAACGGAGACCATCTGCTCGTTACTCTTCCAGTCAGTAGGTGCTATTGACTGATGGGGGAGAACCTGAGTTCTATGAAGAAGCTATGGAGAGTGAGCAAAAGAGACAATGGCTTGAGGCTATGCAGGATGAGATGAATTCCCTATATGCAAATGATACCTTTGAGTTGGTAAGGGCACCAAAGAACAGGAAAGCTTTGAAGAACAGGTGGGTCTACAGATTGAAACATGAAGAGGGCACTTCAGTTCCACGATTCAAAGCTCGACTGGTGGTGAAAGGTTTTAGCCAGAAGAAAGGTATTGATTTTGATGAAATTTTCTCTCCTGTTGTGAAATTTTCATCCATTAGAGTTGTGTTGGGTCTAGCAGCTCGTTTGGATTTAGAAATTGAGCAGATGGATGTAAAGACAGCTTTTCTCCATGGTGATTTGGATGAGGAGATATATATGGAGCAACCTGAGGGATTCAAAGTCAAAGGGAAAGATGATTATATTTGCAGGTTAAAGAAGAGTTTGTATGGATTGAAACAAGCTCCGAGGCAGTGGTATAAAAAGTTTACTTCCGTTATGAGTAAGCATGGGTACAAGAAGACTTCTTCAGACCACTGTGCTTTTGTAAACAGATTCTCTGATGATGACTTTTCTATATTGTTGCTTTATGTTGATGATATGTTGATTGTTGGTCGCAATGTTTCAAGAATTCAACAGTTGAAACAGGAGTTGAGTAAGTCATTTTCAATGAAGGACATGGGACCAGTAAAGCAAATTCTTGGGATGAAGATCATTCGTGACAGGCAAAACAAGAAGTTGTGGTTATCTCAAGAGAAGTATATAGAGAAAGTACTTGAGAGATTTAGTATGGATAAAGCTAAGCCAGTGAATACACCGCTTGGTATGCATTTCAAGTTAAGTAAGAAGCAATGTGCCTCTAGTGAGAAAGAGAATGAAGAAATGCAAAAAGTTCCTTATTCTTCAGCTGTTGGTAGTTTGATGTATGCCATGGTATGTACGAGACCAGATATTGCTCATGCAGTGGGTGTTGTTAGCAGATTTCTCTCAAATCCAGGGAGAGAACATTGGGATGCTGTGAAGTGGGTTCTTAGATATCTTCGGGGTACTTCAAGTCTGAGTTTGTGTTTTGGTACAGAGAAACCTATTCTTGTCGGGTACACTGATTCAGATATGGCCAGGGACATCGACACCAGGAAATCTACTTCAGGTTATCTAATTACCTATGTAGGGGGAGCAGTTTCATGGCAATCAAGATTGCAAAAGTGTGTTTCTTTGTCTACCACTGAAGCTGAGTTCATAGCATCTGTTGAGGCCAGTAAAGAAATGCTATGGATGAAGAAGTTTGTTCAGGAGCTCGGGTTTGTTCAAGACAGGTATGTGCTCTATTGTGATAGTCAAAGTGCAGTTCATCTTGCAAAGAACTCCACGTTTCATTACATGTCAAAACATATTGACACGAGATATCATTGGATTAGAGATATCTTGGAGTGCAAGATGCTTGAACTTGAAAAGATTCATACTGATGATAATGGTCTGACATGATGACTAAAGCATTGCCGAGAGGGAAGTTTGAGGATTGTTGCTCTATCGCCGGGATGGCGATATCTTCCACATAGTCGGGAGGGGGAGATTTGTTGGGTTGGGCTTCCCTCCTATGTGGTAAATAGTCCAATTTGGACCAAGCCTATTTATATCCACTATATATATATATATATATATATATATATATATATATATATATATATAGTAATATATGTGAATTGGGTTTTTTGGTGAATGCAAGACAAAAAAAAAAAAAAAAACGTGAGAGAAGGCAGCAGTTCGGCGGCAGCAGAGGAAGAAAGCATCTTCATCTTGTTTCTTCGTCCTTGATTCAAGTGTGATGAATTTTAGCCGTGAATTTGTCTAACTTCTTGGGTGGTTTCTTGATCAAATATTATTGGAGGTCAGCTTGTTTGTTCCAGGCATCTTTTGGGTATTCTCGTACTATTTGTATTCTTTTCATCTTGCTTGTAGTGGTTGAATATTTTAAGTACGAGTTGGTATTCTGTTTAGGCATGTGGAATATAATAGAAGTCTTTGGCCTAGAATTATTGCATTTGATGATTTGTGGATGTTTGGCTCGTGTGGTAGCTTGAAACTTTGTACCCAAGATTTATTATAGTGGATTATTTGGTTGGTGGTAGTCCCGTGGTTTTTTCCCCGATTTGGGGTTTTCCACGTAAATCTTGTGTCCCTTGTATTCATATTTATTTTTTGGCTGTTTTGTATCCTCTCGTATTTGTGCACTGTGTCGGGTCTGTGATTTTCATTGTCACAGGTAGTGGGATTTTTCCCAACACACATAAACTACCAAGATACAAAATAAATGTGAAATAGCACACAACATGAACCATATAAATAAGTCACAGCCAACTAAACCCTGCACCTCATGCAGCCTGTTATTGAACTTACGATCTTAAAAAGCCTCCATTTTCACTCCTTATATTAGATAGTATATCTTAAAGTGTCAAGAAAATCAAGTCTTACTGAACCATGGCCACTGCCCGACTGACCGACCAACAACCCCCACCCCCTAAACAACTCAGAACCCCCGAAGCACCCAATTTTGAAAATTGCAAGTGAAAAAGCATAGAAACCAGTTGAATATGCACAAACCTCGCATAACCCACTGGTGCGTGATCCGTCGCCGTGCAGACACCCTAGAAGCAATCTCGGGGACGGCCCGTTCGAAACTGACACGATCGATCGGCCGCCGCCGGAGACTGGCGCCCGGCCTCCGCGACTCTGTGCAAAGCAACCGACGGCAGAGTCGTCTGTGAGAACGATGGGCGGGACCTACCCCTCCTAGAACGGCGACTGCCACCTGACCGAGCCATTGCGTATCACACCTCCTTCCGCCGAGAACGACGCCTTAACAGAAACAACGGGTGGAAACAAGAACACAAACCTTGACCCCTAACCCCAGCCAAAATCCTGCCCCTGAAAATTACAAAATCAACCTCACACAATGCATCACTAACAAATGGTAGAGGTGACGGGGTGCACCCGGAACCCCTGCACCCTAATTTACACCCATGGATCAGCCTAATCACACGGCCAGTATGAGTGCACACGTGCACATATTACCTGAAGTTCACACCTGAACTTTTACCTATATATATATATATATATATATATATATATATATATATATATATATATATGCAAAATAAAAAATAATAAAGTTGCCGTTGCAGCAACGGCAACTTCTCAAACCAGTGTGAAATTTCTCCACTGGTTTGAGAACTAAATATAAAATTAATTATATATTACTTTATGAATTACAATTAATTGAATATTAATTAATAGTAATACATATTACATACTAAAATACCACATACTACATTAACGTACCGAAATTGAGAACACATACTACATTAACAAAATTACAAGAATAAAAATTACATTTTAAAATTAAAAATAGAGTTACAAATACGAAAATTGAACATTGGCGGATGACGTACCTAAGGAGATATGATGAGCTACAGCTTGGGGTTGCCAACTTGGAAGGTCTTTCACAATGGCCCATACGTGTTCGTAACCAAAAAAATTTCTCGACCATGTTTTTGTTTACATTCTTCCAAGGCACGCACAACGATATCCGCATCGTTGGCACAGTGGCCACATTGATTGTAACTTACAATAAATTGTATTAAAATCCATGGTCATAAAACGAATATGAGCCCAATGAGCCTTTAATCTTTGGTGAATTCTCCTTGGCTCACCATTGGGATGATTGTTGCTGTAATATATATTTCAATATGCTTCCAAAATGCGCAAATTATGCCGTGGAAACGTGTTCACCATGCTTGGTGAACACGTTTCCAAACGACGCCGTTTTACAGGCGTATCATTAAAAAAAAAAATCATTGTGCTATTAACGGCGTTAGTCGCGATTTTGAAGGCAATTTCCATTATCGTTTTTGGCAGTTTCAATTCGCTATTCACTTCTTTGATTCCATTCGCTATTCACAATTTTCTTCTTCCATTCGCGATTGCTTGATTTGAACTCGTAGATGGAGGAGACAGCGGTTCGCGGAGAAGATTTAATTGGTGATTCGATTTCTGCGGTTCCAGGTTTGTTGCATTTGATTTTCTGCGTTTGATTTCGTTTGGTTTATGAGATTTTAGCATATTGAAATTGAAATTGAATTTGAATGTATATTTGTGTTTGTTATTGCGAGATTGTAGTGTGAGCGTTATAATCTATTAAATGTGTGTTTGTAGGATTTTGTGATTCATGGTGATTATTTGCAATGTTCTTTATTTGAGTTAATACCATCTGAGGTCCTCCGAGTATAGTGGATTTGCCACTTTTAGTCCTAAACTTTCAAATTGACCATTTGTCGTCCTTCGAATTTCAAATTTAACCATTCGTGGTCCAAGTTAACCACCCATGGTCCTTCAAGTTTCGAAATTTAACCAGTGGTAGTCCTCTTGAAAGGACCATGATTGGTTAAAATTTAATAGTTGAAGGACCATTGGTGGTTAACTTGGACCACAAATGGTTAAATTTGAAAGTCGAAGGACCGCAAATGGTCGATTTGAAAGTTTAGGACTAAACGTGGCAAACCCACTATACTCGGAGGACCTCAAATGGTATTAACTCTTCTTTATTTTTAGTTTGTTTTTAATGGTGTTTGTTCAGTATCTATGCAGTTTGAATGTTCATAATGTCGCAATTGTTATTAATATTATGTTTCTGTTATGAATTTTACAATTATGAGATTATGAATTTTCTGTTATGCAATTATGGATTTGATACTCTGTTCCTGCATGTGGTATGGATGTTCATAATTTGATAGTTCTATGTTCATAACATATTAACTGGTATGTTACTCTGTTTGCATATATTCAGAATGAAGATTTTGTTGGTGATTCAATAAGCACTGATCAAGCAGATGCAAAAATTGACATTGATGGCTCGTCTTCAAGTCCAGGTATTTTTCTTAGCTTTTAATGTGAATGTGGTTTCTGGTAGTTGTAGGTATTGATTCATGGTGATTATTTGCAATGTACTTTATTTTTAGTTTGTTTTTACTGGTGTTTATTCAGTATCTATTGCAATTTGAATGTCATTAATGTCGCAATTGATATTAATACTCTGTTTCTGTTATGAATTTACTATGAGATTATGAATTTTATGTTATGAGATTATGACTTTTCTGTTATGCAATTATGAATTTTCTGTATGAGATTATGAATTTTATGTTATGAGATTATGAATTATGTGTAACTGTTATTGATGGACAATATATTCTTTTTCTGTAGAGCATGGTTGGATTTATTCGTCATTCGCCATCCCCCCTCTACTTAAATAAAGAATATATTTCCATCAAATTCATTTCAATTTTGTAGTATATTATATTCATTATAGTTGAATTGCACATTCATAATGTGCAGACTTGTTCTGAAGATATTGCTGGTCAAAAGTTAGTAGTTGGTATAGTTGTGGTTATATTTTTTTTTTTTGCAATTGCAGTTGATGAAGATTTGGTTGGTGTTGTAGTAAGTAATAGTGATGAAGCTTTTGAGTTATATAATGGATATGCATACAGAGTTGGTTTTAGTGTGAGGAAAGGTCAACAACGTTACAAGGCATCTACTAAGTCAATTCAGATGAAAAGGTTCTTCTGTGCTAAAGCTGGGTATAAGGAGAAACCAAATAGTGGTGTCAAGGTTTATTCAAAAATTGATATAAGGACTGGTTGTGGTGCACTTGTTCAGTTTGACGTGTTGGGGGGGGGGATGGATGTGGACAGTTACAAAACATGTGAAAGAGCACAATCATGAGTTATGTTCTTTTGGCAAGAGTTATCTACTCCGTTCACATAGAATGGTGGGAAATAATCATCTTGAATATTTAAAAGATATGAAGAATAGTGGCGTTGCTTTGGTGGATGGTATGAGGTTTTTGAAACATCAGTCAGGGGGTTCTCCATTTGTTAGCTTTACCAACCGTGATGCTTACAATTCGATGGCTTTGAGAGTTTGAAGTGTTTGGATGAAACTGATTCCAATTCTTTGATTGAAATATTTAGGAGGAGGCAATCTAATGAGGCTGATTTCTTTTTTGATTTTGAAGTTGATTTGGATGCAAGACTGTGTAGTTTTTTTTTGGAGGGATGATCAAATGAGACGGGATTATGAGATGTTTGGGGATTTGTTAGTGCACGATACAACATATCGCACTAACAAATATGATATGATTTGTGGTCCTTTTGTAGGGATGAACCATCATTGCATGAATGCAATGTTTGGATGTGGGTTCTTGATGAACAAGAGGATAGAATAATTTGCGTGGTTGTTTAGAGCGTTTTTAAGATGCATGGATGGCAAGTGTTCACAGACTATCATGATGGATCAATGTTAAGCTATGGCTGCTGCCATTTCTATGGTATTTCCTACATCACGCAACCATCTTTGCATATGGCATATTGGTGAGAATTCGAAGAAGCATAACAAGACATTAAGGAATCATAAGGATTTTTTGGATATGTTCAATTGTGTGTTGAAATACACCGAGACTGAAGTTGAGAATGGACAAGGTATATTATTATTTACTTTGTTCATTGGGTAGAGTATCATATTTTGGTATTTTAGTCGTTTATATTGTGTATTCAAGAGGGGGTAAGAATTATGAATATACAGTTAGAAGTTATGAATATGCAGCATAGATATTATGGATATTCTATGTATATATTATGAATGTACATTATTCTGTTTGGACTTTTACTCATTTATATTCTGTATTGCAGAGGATAAGAATTATGAATATGCAGTTTATATATTATGGATCTATAACATAGAAATTATGTATATAGTATTACGTTTTTTTTTTTTATTTATTTTTTTTTTTATGATATTGTTGTTCTGTTTCATATAAGCTTAGTAAACGTGAATTGTAACTTTCAGGATGGTGACATAATATAAGTGTCATAAGAATACTTGGCTAGAGAAGCTTTATGATTGTATGGAGAAGTGGTGTCCAGCATTTAACAAGGATTATTTTTCCGGGGGCATTTTATCTTCTCAAATGAGTGAAACTACAAATCATTCAATTTCTAGAAGGTTATCTAAGACTGCTGGTTTATGTGATTTTTATTCATCCTTTGTTAGTGTTATTTCTGAATGGAGAAGTAAGGAAAATGGTGAAGATTTTCGGTGTTCTCAAGGAGTACCTTCCATGATGATGGATCATGTGAAACTTCTTTCACATGCTAGAGAGGTATATACTATTGAGATATACTTTTTGTTCGAGGAACAATTTATGAAAGGTAGCTCTTGTTATCAAGAAATTGTTTTGAATGATGGATGTAAGTGCAAGTATCATGTGTGGCGACCAGATATATATACATTATAAGGCATGAAGTAATTTTTAAGCCAATCAATTTGGATATATGTTGTAGTTGCAAGTTGTTTTCAGAATTGGGAATACTTTGCTGCCACTGTTTACGTATACTTCAAGTGCACTGTGTTTCTAGTATTCCCGATAAATACATTCTAAAAAGATGGACTAAAAAGGTTGTTGATGGTAGAAATGTGGACATTGCATCTGTGTTTTATAATGTTGGTGTCCCTCCTTAAATTTGGGTTGTCGAGATTAGTAGGAAATTTCACAGATTGATTGTTTCCTATCAAGATAATAGTGTTGCTAGACAATTTTGCGATGAAGCTGTTGAGAATGCAAGGAAAAATGTTGAAGTTGAGATTGGGGATGTGAATATTGAGAAGGGTGTTGTGTATTCTTCAAGTGGTATTGTACAAGATCCTTCAAGCCGGAGGAGTAAAGGTGTGAGAAATAAAAGGAGTAGTAGTGTTATTGAGAAGAAGTACAGTGCAGCAAGGGGGAGAAGGAGTGCTGCAAACAAGCTTGCTTCAATTACAAAGGGTGCTGTCCAATCATTGGTTTTGGAAAATATATCAGAGATTGCCCGGGATGAATATCTCGTACATCCAAGTTCTGGGGGTTCACAGTTTGTTCATTTTAATAAGAATTTAGATCACAATGTAGATATAGATTGAGATTGTGTTAATAGAACTTGATATATGTTAAGCAGTTATGTGATGAACACTATGCAAAATATTCAGATTTGAACTATATATTTGCACTATGTTTGATGTACATCTGCAAGTTTTGAATTATATGTTGAATTTACATTTGTTAAATTATGAATTTTCTCTTATGTGATTATGAATTTACAGTTATGTAATTATGAATTTCATGTTATTGAATTATGAATTGACAATTATATAATTATGAATTTTCTGTTATGAGATTATGAATTTACGATTATGTAATTATGGATATAGAGGTTACAAGTATGGCCAGAAAATCCATAACTATAAATTCATAATCTCATCCCAGAAAGTTCATAATTACATAACAGAAAATTCATAAATCCATATCTGCACATTCATGATTATATTTTCATAATTTATGGACTCAGTAATTATAATAGATTAAAAATTAAACAATAGATTTAAATTAAAATAACAGATTTTTATAATTACATAACTTTGAATTCATAACCCTGCACATTCATAATTATTTAACTTTAAATTTATAATGTCATACAAAAAATTCAGAATTGTATAACTGTAAATTCATAATCACATAACACAAAATTCATTATTACATAACAGAAAATTCATAATTACATAACAGAAAATTCATAATATGATAATAGAAAATCCATAAATCCATATGAACCATATATTCATAATATCTGAAACCTGAATTAACAGTAATAGATTTTATATTCACACGTGCAAAATATTTGTTCACATTACAAAATGAGAGATTATGAAATTAGGGTACCAACAGTCATAATTTCAAAACGAAGTATTCACAAATTCAGTGCTTCATGTTCAAAACATTTTCAAACCCCAAAAACAATATAAATTCATTTCTTCTTTGAGAGCTCCCTTGCTGCCTTCATAACCTGGGTTTTTACAGTGTTCATACCGCATGTGATAATGTTTGATGCATATTTAGCTCTCAATTCACAAATGAGGTCAGCCTTAAAAAAAAACATTAAATAATCAATTTAATGAGATGTTAAAAAATAAAAAAAGTAAATGTAAGTTGAAACTAATATATGTTATACTCTTACATTTACACGAGTGTTTCTCTTGAACCCACTGTTCCAATCTTGCATATTCCCCTTGTATGTTTCTAGGTGTCGCATAACATATATGCCACAGTCAATGACATTGTCAAGCTCTTTCCAGTGAATGGCCAAGAGTTCTACAAGAATCTTTTGTATCTTACGTAATATGGGTGATTTTTTTGCAGTCAAGTATTCCTTTAAAGCAGTCATCTGGAAAAAAATCAAACTGGTGTCATAATGGTTTATAGCAAATGTATAACAAATGATTAGAAGTTCAAGTTTATTGTTAAGTTACCAGTAGACTTGGGCAATCTGTGTAACATCAGTAGGCAGGGATTTGTTGTCTATGATATCCACTTTTTTTGCAATGATGTTAATGCAGACAACAAAGTAATGTTCGTGTCGAAGCACGGGAAAAAATATCTAATGTCAAAAGAAGAAGAAGAAGTTAGAATAGAGAAAAAAAAGTGTCGTTAATAAATAAAAGTTGAACGTGGGTAATTATAAATTACCAAATCATCATCACTGATGTCTAGATTCCAAAACTTGGTAATTTCATATTGTAACCTCTCATTGAAATTTTCCTTCCGTTTTTGAAGTGGAAGATCCTTCATCCATTGATCAGTTGAGTCAAGTTGTAGCTAAGGGGAAAAAATACGTATTAATGATAAGTTGTGCAATATGTAATGAGAATGATTAAATTATATATTCAGAATTATAGAGTCATACATTCATAGTTTTAAATTTTAAAATTGAGTTTTTTCACAAAATGGTCCCTCGACTATTGCTCATTCTCAATTTTGCATTTCGACTTTTAATTGCACCCAATGTGGTCCCTTGACTTTTAGAAACTCCCCCAAATTGGTCCTCCGTTAGAAATTCCGTCTATTGAGTGTTAAAATAAAGGGCATTTTCGTCCATTTACCTATTATATGTCTAATATACTCTGAAAAATAGTCAAGGGACCATTTTGGGAATAGTCGAGGGATCATTTTGAGAAAAACTCATTTATTTATTTCATTTTTGTTTATTTCCATTTTTGTAAGACTATCAAATTAGAGTTTCTATACATATTTTTTTACAAATATAAATAGTTAAAATTCACAATCAAACCTCAAAATTTTAAACTTTCTATACAAATTTGTTCCTTCTGTCTAAACATACAAACTTTTCCTCTAATCCTATCAAGTTTTACAATAAGTTCTGTAAATTTCAAAAATATAATACTCATATACTTTTTATGTTCACACACACACACACTAAAACTTCAATAGACAATCAATCACTATGTATCATATTAAATATTATTTTTACCATTGAAAATAACATTACTAGTTTTATCAGTTTAGACACCCAAAATGTACTATTCACTTCTTGGTCACTATGCCTTTTGAAAATAAAATTATTATTTTTTACAATCAATCGCTATGCTCTGGCACTTCTTCGAACTGAGAAGTACGCGTCACTTCTCGGTCAATGACAAAATTTTAGAAAATATTTTTGGAAAGTTGACTTAAAGGACAAGTAAAATAAACCGAATGCAAAAATAATTAGCACAAAACAAACAATTCTAAACCTAAAGTCTCATCATTTACCAATATTACCAGTTCTTGTCATTTTGAAGTTTGTTTGCATTTTATATATGAATGTTAATAAACTTAAATTTGAAAGTTAAACTTG